ATAAAGCTGACATCGTCACCAGTTTTCGGAAAAGTATAAGAGCAACACATTTTTTTTTTCTCGTGCAATAAAATAGCAATGAATTAGCAATAAATTTTGCAACACATTTTATTGAATTGTGCTAAAGTGGCAATTCCAGCTTTATATACATTATCCGGAGCATCCCTTATAGACTTACAGCTCATTTCCGCTGAGATGTAATAATTCTCCCTGGTGTTAATTTTTATTTCAATGAACTCTTCTCTTAAATGCTTTCACAAGTATCCCCATAATTTGGCAATAAACTTAGATTTCTTACTTAGGCTTTAAAATGAATTCGGCAAGATCTGGCTTCACAAAATGTCTTGTTGGCGGCACATATTTAGTCCTGCATTTTAAACCGAGTCTGTAGTTCTATAGGCCGTCTTCTGCAAGTTAAGGAGTCGGCCAAACTTCGCTGACAAGATTTGTAGGTGGAGGGTATCGAGGCTGACCTTTTACCGGACCCCGTTTCAGGTGATTTCGCGTCGACGTCGTATATTAAACAGCAGACTAGACATCGTAGCTTTAACAGGCAATAAGCCATTTCTGTGAAAGCTAAAAACAGCGCTAAATTTCCTAACTATAATTAGACTTCTTTCAAGGTTCTCATAAATACTCCCACTTTTAATGCCGAAGACGAAGCCAAAGGCCTACGGAATATAGCTGTTGGACAACGTTCCACCGAATCGAGTTTCCGAATTTCCTGCTGGCGCCACATTTTATGTACCGGACTTTAGTCGGTACTCGTGGCTTGCTTAGAGCATTTTTTCATGTATGTAGGCAGTAGGCACCCCCACATTGGAAATATGGAAAGGAACCTATTGGAGAATTTAGTGCTTTTTTAGTGCTCCACCCTTTATACCGAAATTCGGTGGTGGTGCTGAGTGAACGTTCACTCAGCACCCCCACAGTGCATATTACGTTAAGGGAAAGATTCACGGTAAAAACGAGTATGCAGCAATTTGGTGCTATTTTAGTGCTCTAGAAATATTCAAGAGCCAGATCCGAAACATCACCTCTTTCACCCCAAAACTACCCCCGATCGTATAAGCGCCAAGAGAGAAGAGGTAGAAATAGTAACATTTTGCATGTTCTCTTCTCGAATTATTTTGGTGCTATTTTAGTGCTCTAGAAATACTCAAGAGCCAGATCCGAAACATCACCCCTTTCACGCCAAAACTACCCCCGATCGTATAAGCGCCAAAAGAGAAGAGGTAGAAATAATAACATTTTGCATCTTCTCTTTTCGAATCTTTTGGGTTCTATTTAATTGCTTTAGAAATACCCAGGAGACAGATCCGAAACATCACCCCCTTCACCATAAAACTACCCCGGATCATATAGGCTCCAAGAAAGAAGAGGTAGAAATAATAACACATTTTACACGTTCTTCTCTCGCATTATTTTGGTGTTATTTAAGTGCCTTAAGGATATCCAAGAGCCAGATTCTAAAGACCACCTCTTTCACCTCAAAACTACTCCCAATCGTATAGGGTCCAAGACAGAAGAGGTAGAAATATCAAAATTTGCACCTTCTCTTTTCGCATTATTTTGGTGCTATTTATGTACTTTGAAGATACCCACGATATTCTTAAAGCACTTAAATAACACAAAAATAATGCAAGAGAAGAACGTGCAAAATGTGTTATTATTTCTACCTTTTCTATCTTGAAGCCTATACGATTGGGGGTAGTTTTAGGGTGAAGGGGGTGATGTTTCGGATCTGTCTCTTGGGTATTCCTAAAGCACTTAAATAGCACCAAAATGCTGCATACTCGTTTTTTCCGTGAATCTTTCCCTTAACGTAGTTTGCACTGTGGGGGTGCTGAGTGAACGTTTACTTAGCACCACCACCGATTTTCGGTATAAGGGGTGGAGCACTAAAATCGAGGTTGTAGCCCTAAAATAGCACTAAAGAAGCACTAAATTCTCCAATAGGTTTCATTTCATATTTCCGATGTGGGGGTGTCTACTGTACATACATCATTTTTTCCGCCGACTAAGAAGTGCGCACAAACTCTGCTGACAAGGATTTTTAGGCAGCTGGTATCGAAGCTGACCTTTTACCGATTCTTGTTTCCGTGTATAGTATTAGGTCATTCCAAAAGTTGTGTCTTTATCCGTGCTCCTTTCTTTTACTTTGTCTTTCATCCTCTAACTTTCAGTGCTCTCCCTGTGATGCTACTTCGGAACTCACCTACAAAAACGATGGACATTTTGGAGCGACTTAATATATATTAAACAATAAAAATTACCCTTCTTTCGGACAGTGTCAAGAAATGCTTCGATGTTTCAAACTTTTCAAATACAAATGCACGTTGAAATTAAAAACAGTGATACTCAAAATGAAATCCATTCAAATGTGCATTACTGTATTTATATGTGTACCGTGTGGTTTCGAGAAATAACGAAGAGAATGAGAATTCGTAGAAAAGTATTGAAAATTTTTGAATGAGGTAGGGTGGGAAAAGAAATCAGTAAAAATGTTAATAAATCCTACAACGCGCTTTTCTCAAAATACATGCGATCATGTATATATAAGTGATCGAAAATCAGCATACGTAAATATCTGAGTCGTATGCATATCTTATGACAATTATACCCTCGTACGTGCACTTTTGTACAAAATTACTTATGAACTCTCCCAGATGTAATCGAAACTTACGAAACCGGAAATTCAAATGACGATCAACCGACCGGCGAAACTCGATCATGCGATCGGAATTTTTTCGATCTGATAGTTTTTATGAGATCCTTGGGGTCGATTTATGGGGGACATGTTTCGGGGGTTTTCGATTAAAAAAAAAAAAAATCTTCGAAATCGCGTGAAATTAGTATCGTGACATACCTACATACAGGCGAAAACCGCACTTTAGTAATAAATAACATTTAGAAATCAGTGCGTACTCCCTATGAAATTCGTATCCTCGTAGACAAAAATTCCCAACATAATTGTATAGAAAATTTCGAAACCTCGAGGAAAAGAAAACCCACTATTCGTATGCTATATTTCAAACAGACATGTTTAATAATACAGTTTTAATGGACGTCAGGCTATTTCTATGACATCTAAAAACATTAATAGATTTTCCCGGATGTCAGCTGGGAGTAGTAACGAGTCAGTATTTTTCTTTTTTTTTTTTTAAACTCAGAAGTCAGGAAAATTTCGCTGATGAGGATTTGTAGGCGGCGAGTATCGATGCTGACCTTTTAGCGCCTCCCGTTTCGAGTGATTTCGTGCCGGCGTTGTTCGTTAGAGTGTGGGGACTAGATAGAGCAGGCGATAGCCCATTTCCATGAAAGCTAAAAACAGACCTAAATTTCCCTATTATTCTTGGGATCTGATGTGCAGTGGTTCCTAGTTCACGCTACTCTGGGTGGTATTAGATCGTAGGATGATACTCGTGCACTGTAACCGTTTGATTAGATTATCTCTAATGGACTTACAATAAAATTGAACCATTACATCAGAATGAAACGAAACTTACGAACTTTTCTGCGACTGTGTTCCGGAAGGAAAGAAAGGTTTCCAAACACGAAATTATTCTTTTAGAGGAATTGAAAGAAATTTCAGAAATCAGGCTTGCATCACGTGTATTACAAAAACGAATTTCCTGCAATTTTTAATGGCTTTACTTTGTAGAGTATAATATAAAAGTGAGTTGAGGCGAACGAAGCGGTAATTTACGTAAAGTCGGTTTGGAAAGCAACTATAAGAAACTGGTTTTATTAAAATACAGTTATCATGGTGTCGTGCACGGAGGACCTTATACTGCATAGGACGACTGGTGTGGCGGATTTTAGAACATTAATAATTCAACAATGAATTACGTATTCATGTGCTTAATATGACGACGACGTGCCCGAATGTAGCTATGTAGTTGATGGATATGAATCATAGAAACCTGGCTGGAAGGTTTAGAGAATTCTAAGCATAGGATAAACATTTTGTATACTTCGGGAGAGGAAGATTGCTGGCTAGGTACTTAAGAAGTCTATATTATTTTAAGTGTATTAATAAAATGATTGATACCGCTATAATGCACACATCATCACCTATGCTGAGAGACACCGGACATAAATTGTAGCGAGAGACAATGACGTTAAAAAGATTACTACCTCGTCCTAGGAATTATTTTTAACTCTGCTTAGTTTGCCAACAAGCTGTAGCTGACAAAGGTCATAAACTGACACGAAGGTGAGGTTACGGAATTGTACAATTATGAAACAACATACTTTTCTTTTCAAATAATCTAGATTTAAAAAGCTTCATATAGGCCCCATGAATCTTTTACTATTAATTAAATTTTTAAGGAATAAACTAAACTTTACCCACATATACAGAAAAGACAACAAGGAAACAAAGTTCTCTATCGGGTAGCAATGCATAGTTACATTTTAGAATAACGTTAATCCATTTCCTCGATTGCCAGGAGCTGTATTAATAATTAATCTTTCCGAGTGCTCTGCCACATCTGTTAAAAGCGTATCGAGCAGAAAACTCCTTGCATTTTTACAAGAACTTTTGAACCGATATGGACACGTTTTCTATGTTACTGGGAAGACAGAGTCGCTGCTCAGGAAGAATCCGACTGTCAATCCGTCTGACTAAAACGTATCGATGTGTGGGTATCGTGCAACGGGTCGTCGGTATGTAGGTTTCCTGGCGATAAAAATAGCATCCTGATATTTAGGAACCCTTTCCGATGGTACCAATTATTTAACTGTACAGATAGGCAAATCATCCAGAGGAGCTAAAAAGAATACATATGTTGCCTCGTGGGCGAGAACGAACTTTCCTCCCGGGTGATTATTGGGCAATCGAGACCGCCCACGACGAGTACGAGAGAGAAGACTCTCGCGGCGCATCGTTGCCCAAAATTTTACGTCGCCGCTACGTCGATCGCCGGCGATCGGCAAGAAATACTGAATGGGAACCGGCGTTAGGCGCGCCTTCTATAAATAGAGCGAATTTATACCTTACTCCGCGAACCCTGGAGTGAAACGATCCCTCCTTTGCGGCTGCCACCCGTTCGTTCCGTCCCGAAGTGAAACTCGTCGGTACACTTTATTTACACTCCGGATGTGGTTAATAGTACCGTCGCTGGCACTAGGTTTCTTTTCCTTTCGAGTCTTCCTCAGCGGCCCTCGAGGTTTTTCGTTTCCACTTCATTTTACCAGACATTTTTCGAGCGACGATATGGCACACGGCTCAAACTTTGCCACCATCTTTATTTACTAATTTTGGAATTGGACGGAGGAACGCGGAACCGCGAACCGCCAGATGGCGCCGTGATAAAGCGATGCTGAAGATGAGCAGACCAATGATTTGAGGAACGATTTACCTAACGTGGCGCCCTCGCGGAGACTCGTGTAAGTAGATTCATTTTTGAAGAGAGATTTATTGCTCATTTAGTGAATTTATTTGACTGCACATTTCTAAAAGTGACTCGTATTCTTTTTTTTCTACTTTATAAGGTACTTAAGTTTGCCTCACAGCTGAATATTTGAATGTTTTGTTAATTTATTTTCCCTCTAAATATTGTATTTCCTTTTGTGGAAGGCAGTGCTACATTGATGAAACCATTTTAAAGACTCCAGTTTTGAGTAAGGTTTCAGAGGTCTAAGGACATTGAACTCATTGGTCATTTTGAAACGTCTCTGCGTCTCATCAGCTTGCATCAGCTGGGAAACAACTATGCAATGACGCCAATGATCAAGAATGATCAGAAATAATGCGTTTTGTCCCGGTTCAGTTACGTTTGCGTTAAATAATCTACATTTACATGTATCATAAACTAAACTAGTAAGTGTTCGCGTTTAGTAAAAACTGTGGTCGTAAACAATTACCATGTTTATTTCCTTCTACATTTTTGTATTGCAAATAATTCTGCGTAGACATAACCTTTTAACTAATAAGTGATGTAGTTCTTTATAAGAAAAAAAAAAACTACGTTTTTACAGAGTTTATGCAATGGAGGAAGATGGTGGAAAAAGAATGAGGGGTAGGTCTCGAGGAAGGGCTCGTGGCAGACCAAGAGGTCGAGCCAGAGGACGAGCTAAAAAGGCAGTCAAGGTAAATAAGTCTTGTTTAAAGTACTTTTATACCTAAGTATGCTACTGTAATTCAATATCATTTACGTACAAAATATATTTATAATATGAGGAAACTCATTAAAATATATTTATATTTTATCGTTAAAGGTTATAGAGAGCGATGAAGAGGAAACCCCTCAATTAGCAGAAGAAACCCCAATGGAAACAAATAGGGCAGAACCCGAGCAGCATGAACAACCTCCACAACAGATTCAGCAACCATTACCGGAACAGCAATTTGATTTAGAAGCAGATATATCCCAGTTGGAAGCACCAACTTTTACTACTATCAATAGAGCACCTCCAGAACCGATGTTGCGATTACGTTGGGATCATCGGGTTAATCTCATTGGAGAAAAAGTTCTTAACCCAATGATACATTGCTGCGATAAGTGTCTTAAGCCAATCCTAATCTATGGAAGAATGGTTAGAGATTTTTGCTACTACTTTTACGACCTGATAATAATTAATAAACATTGTTTTACATAATTTAAATCTTTCAGATTCCTTGTAAACATGTGTTTTGCTTATCATGTGCTAAGCGAGAAGATAAAGTCTGTCCTCGATGTATGGAAAAAGTTTCTAGAGTGGAGCAGACGGGCTTAGGTACTGTGTTTATGTGCACCCATGGTGGTACTAGATATGGAAATGCTGGTTGCAGGAGGACATATCTAAGTCAACGAGATTTACAGGTTTCATATCATGTTCTTTTTAGTTATTAATGATCGTATGTGTTATAAGTTTTGTGATATTTTTTAATCTGTAGGCTCATATCAATCACCGACATATTTCGGCTCCACCTCAACCGGTTCAAGGTATTCAAGTGGACCCGCCACAGTATGTGCATTCAAAATCAGAGATTGATTCACAGATGGCAAAAGTTCCACCTGTACCGATACAAAATAGCCGTATGAAACAAGTACCATCTCATATGGTACAGCCAATAATGGGAAATGATCCCAGAGTTAATTCTATAGTGAATCAACAAACTGTCGATCACAGACCACAACATAGACCTCAACCAATAATTCCCATGCAGAATTATTCTCAAAATTCTGCGCCACCACCACCACCAACAAACCCCCCAATGAGGACTAATTTAATCACGGTACCTATTCAAGATACAACCATAACGTCTCACGAACTACATTCGCAACAAAATCATCACTATTATCCTCAACAAGTTGGATACGGAGGGTACAATGTTCCTCCTCCGGTATCACAAACTCAACAATATTATTCTCAACCGCAACATCCGTCTCAAGTCGCATATGTGCCACAACCTCCCCAACAGCAGTACGTGTCCTCTGCCCCGAGTACTCTCAGGCCGTCACCTAGTGGGTACATACAGGACCCACAGTACGGTCCTCCACCACAGCAGCAACCTCCTCAACCGCAATGGACTCAGCATCAACAGCAGTTCTATAGATAGGACACACCACAGTGATTTAATAAATTTTAATAGATTTACTGTTCGTGTTATCGATTATCTGTCTTAAAGTGAGATAATCGTAATATGACATCGTGTTAGTCACTGATGTGTGAATGTATATATTGGCGATTGTATTCATATATATACATATACACACATAACCTGCAGCTTTAAGCTGTCTGAAATTTATGCTGCCCAAATATACTGTTTAAAACAAATACGTGATAAGGGACAACTAAACATTTACTGTGCTCATTCGGCAATAAAAACATTTTCTTAACCGTTTAAACATATAGATTTATTTTCAATGAATATTTTGCAGTATCAAGCGCATAAATGCATCATGTTTGTGCAAGATCAATGTGGACGATATAATATTGGAATAAATTACACTTTATTCTGCTATTCATGCTATTTACAGTAGATATAACTAAAGAAGGATTATCAACAATTAATCCTCTTCGAGATAGAAAATATAAGGCAAAACAGTTTAATACGAGTACAGTATCGGTGCCACTAATTTTTAGATAGCATTGTAGTATTGATTCGAAATTCCTCTACTACCCAACATTATATTTGAATATGTAAATGTACAGTGTTACAGTATACATATTATTCTTTTTATCTTCTTTGGAAACGTTTCACGTTTGTAGAATTTATAGTAAAACTTACAAGTTTATTAACATCAATACGGTTTATACAAATAATAAAGTATCATTTTCTACCACATCGTGGCATCACTTTTCTAAAAAATTCGTTCTTAGCAGTATACGAGATTAAAGATTAGAATGTATTGGTTTGGCAATATAATTTAATATCGTACATTCTAACCACTTGCGTTGTATTTACAAAGTGAATTATATTTTAACACTTAAATATACCATTGTTCTTAATACTACGCCAGATTCCGACGGTATATCACTGACGGTTTCGATTTATTCACACGCAAATCTTAGCCTTACACATTCCAACTCTGTAGTTCATTTTACACTGGTACTAAAACAGTAATCGACTAAGAAATCTCGTTCAGTTACAAAATTTCTAGATACGTTGTTAAGTGTTGTTTAAGTACCAGGCCAAGATGATCCAGCTTAAACAGTTAAATATTTGAAGAATTTTCTCATACTATACATAAAAATAGTTTTTCATCTCAATTCATCACACATGTATGTTTACGATACGTCACTCGCTGTTTCTTCTACGATAGCTTGTTCCCTTCTCATTTAACATCACACTTCATTGTACACACAACTTATTCGTACAATTGTTGTCATTGTATTGCAATGAAAGATGAATTCGTTGGAAATTGTATATGGCCTAGGTGATATATTTAACGTACTGTAAAGTATAATTTTCACTTTTATTATCTTCATATAAACGTTGATTGCATAATTTATTTCATGACAATAAGTTCACAACGGAAATATTAAAGATACTCTTCTATTATTAATTGCAAATGCGTACAAAAATATCAATATTTGTTATGCCACAGTCTTGAAAGAAGCACTGAGACTACCATTATACTCTTGCACACCGTTTCTGTTTTCTACTTTAATATGTACAGAAAATCTATAAAGCGTAACAATATAGTAAATAGCAGTTTTTTTTTTTTTAATTAGATGTAAATGAAATCAACAAATATAAAGTGAAGTATTTTGTGATAGAAAATGATTGAAATGAAATTGGTAGAATGTAATAAGCAGTGTAATGTGTCTAGAAATGTATTTCTACAATGGATTAATATACGAATGAGTTGTGAGTACTGAAACGTTACTCTAGACTAACGTAAAGGAACTGATTTCAATATATCTGCAACTTCATATTGAATCATCAAATTCCTTGCAAAACTTACAAAAGCCTATTTCAAAATCAACGTCAGAAAAAAGTGTTAATCAGTTTTGTCCGAGATCTGCCGTAGCCTATAAATTTGGAAATTTGTTTCTATAAGTTGTAATACTTAAAAAGCAATGATATTCCATAGGAAATTAACATTTTTTTGGCTGTCTGCTTTCAGTGACTGTTATAACACTAAATTCTCCTGACAACCATAACAATCAAAATTATATATTTAGTATTCGTTACCAGAATATACTTGATCACATCCATTAAAAAAAATGTGTTGTTCTATTTAATCTTAATAAATGTGATAAAATAGATAATTAGATTGGGTTTTGTTTCTCATAACGATTTAACCGACACATTTTTAAACTGTCAAAGTAATTTTGACAACCTTTCATTACATATCTCAAAAGAAGCACAATTACCTGTTAATATTAATATTCAACACATAAAATTCATTGTTTTATGATCTAATGTAACTCACATTGAATTAGATATTTTCAACTTTTTCAACAGGAATAAGTAAATAAAAATGTATTTGCGCATAAAGATACGTAGTCTTAGGGTTCAGTCATTTCCTCCAATATTTCCGTACTGATACCCGTTTTACGTACGCAAATATACCTAGAAGTTTCTTGGCGATCTAAAGCATAGACTCGTTGAAATCAGTTTCTTTAAGAGGATCACGTTGCCGAAGTGGATGGATGACTGTGAATGTTGACATTGATTTGGGGAATAAGAGGAGAGGCAAGTGGTTTTGGAGCAGTCGATTCGGGAATTGGTATCGAAACTGCTGGAGGTACAGGAGAATGTTTCTTACTTCTATCTTGTTGCCACGACTTTGTGTGGTCTTTGCTTAATCGTTCACTTAAAGCTTTCAATGCAATTTGCCTGTAAATTAATAAATATTATATGTTACAAAAAATGTTATGTTCCGTAATTGTTTTAAATAACAAAAGTTGTTAGTATTTAATAAAATTACCGGCGTCTTTCACTGTCATGAGGATCGATACCAGGCAAGTTAATGACAAGACCCGGAGGTGCATTGGACATGTCAAACCGTCGAACCACCTTCTTACAAATTCCCATACGGACGAAAAATCCATGGATCGTGTTGCTGACAACTGCGATCGGCGGTTGTAAAACATTTGGAAAGAAACTGGAAATAAAATTAACAATAGTCTCATCATCACCAAAAAAACGGTTAAGGCATCAATTATGAAATTACCTTGCAAATGTGAAATTGTCTGCCATATCCCCTCTAGTACCATTACTATGCCTTTGATAAAATCTCAAGTAGATCCATGATACTAGTAAACCACTGAGAAACATGGTTGGGTACGTGCCTTCCAATAGTCCCAGTAGCCAAAGTGACAACCCAACCATCCATATTATAAGAGGAATGTTCCGATTTGTGATTTTTCCCATAGGAGTTTTAATTAAAATATGATCTGGCATAATTTGTTTCACAGCCACGGTTACTCCTGAAACAGTAATCGGTACAAGATATAAAACGTCAATAGATTATCAAACAAATGTAACATTTTACGTGCAACTTCACCTATAATTTGAACATTTGAATAACACAGTTGTTATAATATGACAAAATTATTTTTAAAGTGTCCTTAAAATCATTTGAATAACAATCTTCTTTTGGCCGATTCCCTCCCATATTTAATGGTATTTAATGGTATACAAACTACGAAAAACCAATTACGCAAGCAATGTTGACTACCACTACTCCAACAATTTTTAATCGCGCCAATTCTACGTCCATAACATTTACCATTTTTATGCAAAGGATAAATGACACTTTTACGAGTTCAAATACCTGCGATATAGCCTGCAAGTCCGTGAATATGTACATCGAACAGCAAATCGGTATCACTGGTGCACATGTAAAGAAAAAGGTAAAACAATGCGGACTGCACCGCAACTCCAACATTTACAATGGCGAAGAAAGTCATCATTTCCAGAGCTCCCCAGAGGGGTTCTATCAGCTTGCTGCAGAGCCCCATGGTGATGATGTCGACGCACACCTCCCAGAAGTGCATCTCCAGGAAGCAGAAGGTAAAGGCAGTCCATATCCAGAACGCGGGAGGCAACAGATAACCTGGCGTTACGCTCAGCGCCTTCACAGCATCCTCCGAGAAGGAGAGGCAATACGAGATGAGTACGACGATGCAAATGAATTTTACGCTATTGCTCATGTTTCCTAGGAAGGCTGCGAACTGTTGACGGAGATAGGGTATGTTCCTCCCCAAGCCCTTGATCGCTGTCATCACCACGGAAAAAGCTCCTTAACCTCTTTCAACTCAAGAGTTAACCTGTGCTGTCACCTGACGTTCGCCACGAGCGCATCCCCAGCACCGCGCGAGCACACAGAGCCGCGGACGCGTGCCACCCAAAACTCTTGACGGCCCGTTTCAGGAAATCTGTCGGTTACAAATAATCCGTTAGAAAAATCCAAACATTTTACGTACCGAATGCGGCGCAGTCTCAACGAACAGCCCTGCGCGCCAATCTCGCTCAGTTTATTCACCTTTCATAAATGGAGCTGACTTCACCGATTAACTTCTGTTCCTGGAATTTCTATATCTTTAAGCCGGAATCAGGCACGACTTTTGTGACACCGTTTTCTTATTTTGAGTCGAGAATGTTTCTGCATTCGTATGTACCGCTTGCGCATGGCAGCTTTCTATCGTACCGACCAGATCGCTGCGGACGGCAAGGTTCCACTCGACCCGCTCGGCCATTGCATTATCGCGTTAATCAAGCATGTGTTTCTATCTTGGCTACCAGAGTGCGCTGATGGATGCGCAAATTTTGTTGCCACAAAAAAATAAATTACACTAGAAACAGCGGGGGGCAATTTTCAATCGCTACGAATTTTCTGAATGTCCATTTGTTCATCCTTTTTCCTCTTGTTGTTAAATAAGTAAATGAAATGATAGAGGCCTTTGCATTAAGAAAAAAAGTGGCCGCGCGTGAAGTAAACGTAGAAGCATTCAATCGTTTTCTCATTAAAATTACAATTTGTCAGTATTTCTCGTTATAATTAGTAGAATCGCTTGCATTAAGTTCAAGATGGGACTTTTTAGGAAAGCCGGTAAAGAAATAAGACGGATTGTGAGCTAATTACATCTATAATTTTTGGAATTATACGCGCTGAATTACAGATTCATTTTACTCCGTTGTATACGAATTGTAATGAATTCATTTTTATAAATTAATTAAGAAATTCTTATGTAACGATGAATAAAAATAGACATATTACTGCTGGTTGGCAGACCTTGATCGTTGAAATTGAATAAAATAAACGAGTGACATTAATTGCCCAATATTATTTAATTGCGAATTGAATATTGTTGTATAAGAAACATGTACATACAGACCATTATATTGTCCGGGCAGAGTTAATCTTCCTGCAAACGAAAAAAGTATTTACGTTGCTTTTATCCCGTTCAACGGCACAAAGGAGTAGCTTTAATTATTAAGAGCCGGAAATGAAGTTCAATTAGTAAAAGCAATTAACAGAGCGTTAAGGATAGACGAGATAAAAGGTTTTCAGGCACAGGTCGGCCGTAAATAAAGTGCATCTGCGATTGCTCTTGTAGTGGAGATGGGCACCCTTTTAAAAATTATACCGAGCTTGAAATTTAGCACAGTTTGCCCCAACTGGATTTCTTCAGTTCGTCGCAGAAATTGATCAGTAACTCGAAGTCAAATATAAGAAATAATGATGTTTTATGAAGAGACTTTGATATTATCCTTTCAGAAAATCCTATTTTCGGATAATATCTTCGATAATTAATTTTGAGTAAGAATAGTATTTCCTATAATTCCGAATTGACTCGGAACTGACTCTTGAAATGATCGCAAAGACTTTGTATGAAGACAAGGCAATCAAGGGAATCAACATGGCGATCAGTCGTGTTTTGTTTCATCGTTGTTAGTCCAAGATTTTGTGTTTCTAAATGCTTTAAAAATTCTTCAACCTCGAGCAAGACCGTCGAAAGGAATAGTTTGTAAAAAGATGTGGAGTGTTTACGTGCGCTCTTTAAATTAAAAATAATTAACGCCTGCCTCTTACTCGTAATATCACGCCCGTCTGAAATGTATCGACTTCTTCACCCAAGACAATCATCTCACCGTGGAGAAGTTTTAATTTCCGCAAGAATAATTTCCACCGATATATCACAGGATTGCCTCATTTTACAGACTTCATTGAGTTATATCTTTAACCAGGTAATTTTATTATATTGAAGACGCTTAGATGATTGGTCAGTACACTTGCGTTATAATATACCTCTGAATAAATGCAAAATATGTATTATCCATTGAAGCTTGGAATTCGTTGTCTCCTAAGCTGAATAAAAGTGTAGTAAAGTCATTTCTTAAGACCACAATCTTGGATTTACGTCACTGGATAGGCTTCTATCCTGTGACGTAAAACTATTGGACAGGCTTCAATAGTAGATTGTGACCTTAAGGTGAAGTGAAACACGTTTAGGAACTTGATCGACGTCGATAAAGAAGATTTCTTAATGGTATACGCCACCTATCGTTTTCGTACAATAATTATAAAGAAATCGAAGTAAAACTCCAGAAACCCTCTGGATTCATGCTTTCTGGGGCCCTAATTGATTGCAGAGGGACACCTTGCGCCATCTGTGATTTCCAGGACAATTAAATTTTCACTCCGAGACCTCGTAATCCCATCGTTTTAGCATAGAAGCGCATACAACACTTTTTGCCTTTATCCCGTTCAAATGCGAGTTTATCGATTACCAGAGTGTTCTAAATTGTCGTAAAATTGTCCCGACCGTTTTGTTTCTCATATCCGGGCCTTCGATAATTGTATATCGATCGAAATATGAGAGCTCGACGCCATTTTGGTTCTGGTCTGGGCAAAGTTAAAAAATGTTTTCCAAAAATCCGAATTTTGAAGGTGTTAGGACAATTCTTAGACAATCACGAGTCATGTGTCCAAGTATCGGACAGTTTGGTCCAATACCCTTAAAAAAAGTGTTGTATTCGAATCGACTGATTTGAAGGGGGTTTCACTTCACCTTAAGAAATTACAACTACACACACGTAACAAAGATTAATCCCTTTCGCATAATCGTTTTTCTACGAATTGAAATAATCGGCTTTTTATACAAGAATAATACAAATCGCGGCGTTACGGTTTTTATAATGAAATATAGTCAATTATACGGGGTCGTTGAGTTAAGAAGTTTTCCCAAGTGTACCGTTTTTCCTGCTTTTCAGACCCGTACTCACAGACGATTACTTCCATAAACCGTGTCTGTTTCAAGAGGAAAAAGAATTCACTCGACGTGAACTCCTGGATCTGTCGGCTCGCTCGTGCATAGCAACGCAGTTGCATATTACGACTGATAAATGCCCGGAGTTTGCCCGCGTTGCCTTCGCGAGGTTTACTTCGCCGAGGAGAAATTGGCCCTTGGAAAAGTCTGGCACACCTTCTGCTTCTCGTGCCGTTAGTATGCACTTTTGTGGGTAATACTTGCCTTCCTAACGCCTGGGCTCCTATCGTCTACGATAGTGCTTTCGGGAGTGCTCCATATTAAGTAAATCCCCTTTTAAGCTTTATATCACCCAACACCTCATTTTTACTTGCTCTCTCTTCCTTTTCATTTCCTATCAGAGAAGGATGAAGAACCGTCCACGTGACAAATATAAAATCTCTTGTACGTCAACTCAATTATTAGTACTCCTACTATATGCGCCACAGAAATTGAATTTGATACGCCTTAACGTCAGTGACAATATGTAATTTACATTTTCCATAAAAATTCAATTATAAAATAAGCAAAGTATCTAACCATCTTCTTTTACATTTTACTTCAGGGGTGTATTAACGAATTTTTATTAATAATTTGTAATAATCATAGTTATGAATTGTCGATATCCATTTACAAGTCACTGATCGCATGCTATTTATTTCCTTTCTTAAGGGGACGTGAAAATAGCATCCGAGGGGTTCATCGTTTATGAAACTATTCTCCGTACAGGGTATATCGAATCGTTTTAAATGTTAGTACGTGAATATGGAGATCCTAAAGAAGATCCTGACTTCCATGAAACTTCATGTGTTACAAAAAATGTAAAAAAAGCTTAAAAACAAAATTGAAAGCATATGAAATTTCATGGGAGTCAGGATTCTCCTTAGAGTCTCCATATTTCCATTATATTCCCGTGGCAAAATTTCAAATTATTTAGTACAAGTTCGGGGAAAAGTTTCATAACCGATTGACGCCCGAGGTGCCACTTTTGTATCACCTTAATCTTTTAGCTACAACGGAGTTGGTCGTGAAGCTGTACCCCTGTACAAAGAGCTCCTTCTCAATTTATATCTACCGCTTCCCACTATACATTAAAATTTACGTCAAACGTTACACAATTTATTTACATTAGAAAAAAAAAAGTGAGCTATTATAGTGATATACCGTTCAAAAAGAGGTCTGAGTGGGAAGTCACTATAGCGGCATATTGCTCAAAAAGGTGGCATAGATGTACGAAAAAAAAAAAGAATGGTCAGGAAAACCACAATTGTGGTAATTGTAACCATTTTGGGACAACCAGGGTAGGTAGTTACAGCATCCAGCGTAACATGGCAAGGGTTATTTCGCCATTTAGTCAAGGTAACTTCAAGTAACGAGTTGTTTTACCGTGTTTATCGAAACCTCTTTATATATTTTGTTCTTTTCAAAGTTACTCCGTTTGCCATAACCTCCTAGGAAGGTTATTCCAGTTGTGGTTTTCCTGACCGTTCATTTCTTTTTCCCGTGTGGAAGCCACTGCAGTGGCATACAGTGGCAAAAATGTTTTAAGGTGAAGTGAAACCCTCTTCAAATCAGTCGATTCGAATACAATACTTTTTTTTAAGGGTATTAGACCAAACTGTCCGAAACTTTGACACGTCGCTCCTGATCACCTAAGAATTGTCCTGACACATTCAAAATTTGGATTTTTGGAGACAAATTTTTTAACTTTGCCCAGACCAGAACCAAAATGGCGTCGAGCACTCATATTTCGATCCATATACAATTATCGAAGGTTCTGATATGAGAAACGAATGGGTCAGGACAATTTTATGACAATTTAGAACACTCTGGTAATCGATAAACTCGCATTTGAACGGGATAAAGGCAAGAAAAGTGTTGTATGCGCTTCTATGCTAAAACGATGGGAATCCAGAGGATGTCTGGAGTTTTACTTCGATTTCTTGATATTTATTGTACGAAAACGACAGATTGAGCATGCCATTTGGTACAATATCCAATATTATTCGATACAGCTGTCAATATAAAAACGAACGTCGGCAACGTAAGCATTTAGAATAATCTTCTTTATCGTCGTCGATCAAGTTCCTCGACGTGTTTCACTTCACCTTAACCACCCCAAATCTTTTTAACGAAATAATAGAATTGGACCAATTTCAAATAACCTTTGGTACAAAAGTCGTATCAATGTTTCAGGTAACTGTCGAAAGCTGCTAGATAGTTGTACGGTGACGACACACTGCGGGGAGCTGTTCTGCAGGAATTGTTGTACAAGGCTGTTCTCCTCCACGGTGCAACCTCCATCACCTCCTCCTAGCCGAATCGTCCCGCCAGCGGAGCCGAGAATCCCGACACCAGCTGCTCCGGTCGTCCCGGCATCGGCTTGTGAATCATTAACGGACTGCTGTTGTTGCTGCTGCTGCGAGGAGAGCGCCTTGGGCGAACCGCACTGCGACCCCAGAGGATCGAATAATAAGCGGAGGCTCCACGGTGGTGGTGGCGAGGACGAGGAGCCCGATTATCGGCTCGAGGTCGACGGCAGACGTTGCTCCGAAAGCGACTACTCGAACCTGGGGGTCGTCAGCTCGGTCACGACCCTCAATCCCCCGCCCAGCCCTACGGCTGTAACTGCTTGGTACAATCGACAGCACTCTGCTTCTCAAAGGTTTATCGCAGACCTCGACCTATCCTCGTATTCGTTCCTACAAAAAGGATCTCTTGATGTACCGATTACCCTGAGCGACGAAATAACTTTCCAAGCAACCGAACGCTCTTGGGTCAAAGGGATTTTTATTTGCTGCTGGGAACAAGACTGATTATTGACTGAATTAAATGAATACAAATTTCAAGTGATATTCCATTTTCTTGAGTATTATTCTTATATGGAGAAAAAAAGGGAATGGTCAGGAAAATCACAGTTATGATAATCGTAATCATTTTGTAAGGCAATGTATGGGACAACCTTGGTGCGACGTTACAGTAACTAGTAAAATAGTAAAAAGAACATAGGGCTACTTCACCGTTTAATCGAGGTATCTACAAGGAACGACTTGTTCTACCGTTATGCAGGGTTGGGAATGTCCATTTGGAAATTTACCGTCGACATAATGGTCAATTTTTGTGATTGTCCACATTATACTTATGTGCCTGTCAGTGTTCTCATATATTTCTGTCTTAAGTTGTAAACTATCATTCGATGCTCAAAACTGTACTTTCTCGATGATCGCTTCCCTTTTGTCCCTTCTTCGGGTAGGGGTAGTGTTATACACGGAACGTCATTACAACTTAAATGCGGAGAATAGTAACAGGTCTTATAAACAAACGAGCTATCTATATCACCTGTGAGAAAGTCTCGCTACCTGTCGAAACTAATGATGGCAAATCATTGTTTCTGCATCCACATAGGAAAACGTAGAACAACCTTACAACGTGTGAAATCTTACTATTATTATGATTACAGTTCCCAGATAAACTTTGTACTTTACTATTTATCATAACCGCTTTATATAGTTGAGGTGTTATAAAAGGCTCATTTTATATATATATAATTTATAAAATTTCATTTATATATCATAAAATATCACTTATAACATTTTTCTTCAAACTGGGTGCATCGAATCATTTGAAACTCTAGCACGTGATTACGAAGGCCCTACGGAAGAACGCGATGCTTGTAAAATTTCATTTTTCACAAAAAAAAAAAAATGTGATTTTAGTTATAGTCTAGGCTAAATAAAGAAAATGTTTTTTTAAAAAATTAAATTTGACGAGCATCGGGTTCTTCTTTAGGGCCTCCAGAATCACGTGTTAATGTTTTAAATGATACGGTGCACCCAGTTTGGAGAAAAGTTTTATAAATATTTTAACTTTTTGATGTATAGAATGACCCTTTCATATCACCTTAATATTATCATTCCAAATGGTGTTCACTACTGCAACTTTTTAGCGTAGCACCATGGATACAGTAACTATTGGCAAGGTTACATTTATATTTCCATGTAATCAGTTTCACCATTTGTGTGGTTTCACTTACCACGATATTTTAACCATGTCGCTGTACTGTATCCAAATTATTTATTTCTGTGTAGCTTCACCGAGATCTTTTTATCCAAGTTCATTAGATTTTTTGTACATTAATGCCTTTGAATGAATAGTTGATTCGTTTGAATGAGTAGAGATAGATGATAGATAGTAATGTTGTTGTACCAGACTAGAATTTGATAGGTTTACTATGTATCTTATGTTTTCTTTCATACTTCTAACAATTACTGGTGACCTCATTTTCGCATTAATTTCATACAAAATTTAATCGTTATTAATAATTGTTTATATGAAGTGTGAGGTTGTTTAGATTAAATGTAACATGTACAAAATATCATGTAACTTCCATTGACGTTTTCATTACTTGATACCAATTTTGAACAAGAAATTCTTTTCGCAAACTCATTTCCAGTTGACACCTACTTGTTATAGTTTGAGTCGCATCACCGATGGTTTCTGCAAAATCGGCTTTTGTTTAGCAAATTTCTTTAGAAAGAATCATTTAGACTACCATAATTAATGACTTTCTCCTAGAAAGTAAATTTTTCGCTCAGGGTAGATACTTAATGTGGTGCAGAAAAATTCTGTCTTTATTGCTCTGGAATATTTAACAAATGAATTAATGTCTCCAAAAATTATTAAATTTACTAAGGGACTTGTCATTTTTTTTCAATAATATTAATATACTATTATTAGTACACAAAAATAATTATTTCAAGTATTTCTCTAGTGAAATTTATGTTATACGGTACTGAGTTGAGTACTTTTTAAAATTATTACATTTGTAAGCGAATGGTAATTAATATCGCAGTAGTTCATACTGAAATGTTTCTTTTTTTTAATAATCTCTAGAATATTAAGTCTGACACGATATATGTGTGGGCAATCGACATAGTGATAAAATATGAAGATGGTCAATTTATTACTGTTGCAGCACCTTTGCGAGTCAGCCGTGTGCAGGAAAACGACCTGCTCGGCCATCTTCAGCTTCCGGTGTCCGAAACAATTGTGTTTGCACGAACGAAACCAGTGTACATCATTGCAACATCAACGGAGTTAAAGTTGCAGCCCCTCACAGACTTGGAAGTCCTTGCCGCTCAGCGCTTCAGCAACAGCAACAGCAACACCAATATCGACAACATAACCACCAGTCCCATAATTCGCAACAGCAACAACTGCCTCAGGAGAGTAAAAATTTCAACAACAATCCACCAACAACCTTCGTCCATCCTCGACCATCTTTGAGGTACAAACATAATTGTTCCTAGAGACTGCATTTGCAAGACGGGAATGTCGGTTGACATCTATCATTGACCTAGAAATCGTATGGAACTAACATCGAATTGAAATGCACGACACTCTCTATGGCAAATACAATCTCACGAATAAGAACATAGATATAATATCAAATTCAAATTATAAGATTTTATTAACGCCATAAACTATTTTTTACATACGTTTTACTAAGGCGATGTGTTTTTGCCGGATGCTGATTACCTGAATTATATTAGCGCATTTTATGCGCAGTACATAGCGGAATAGCTTACAAGATTCCTAGGACAGGGTCATCGAGGTGGGAGTCAAGCGGGGAGGAACACGTTGTAAATTGACTATCCACAGCAGGTGCAACTGCACCCCAGAACTCCACAGTGATGATTAATAGCTGTCGAATGGCATCGGTCAGCTTCGGGGAGACTTTGGAAGAGGAGAATTTGGAGTCGATCAGCGAACACGATTTCGGGGAATCCAGGAGACAACTCGCGGCAGAGAAAGTAGGTTGTAACTTAGGTGTTTCCGGTCCAAGCGGAAGACAAGCCCCGCCGATCGCGTTCCAACGCCAGGGTGCAACTAGAGATCATTCAGAGGGGTTCAGGTGTAACTTAATGTCGCCAAAACCGAGATCGACGTACCCACCACTGCCGCCACATTACACGCCGCCACCAAGGAGGCGGGTGTCCTTTTGCAGCGACGTTCCCGAAGAAAACGAGACCTACGTGACCGCTTCCAGTGGGTCTTCCGTGGTACCGAGCGACCACATCGACCCCTATACCATCGGCAACATCCTAGCGAAAGAACACAGATCTTATTGCGAGATGGATGACCACATCCTTACCAGACCCTCCACTGCTGGGACCAATTGCAACGGGTCGAGTGCGGTCGAAGAGCACCAAGGATGCCATCAATTCGACGTCTCCGGGGACGAGGACGATAACGTTAACGCCTTAGATACCGACGAGGATGACAGGATGCGTGGAGGCTGCGGTGGTTGTGGTGGTGGAGGCAGCGGAGGTTGCTGCGGAGGAGTCACGGGCAATGGCTATGGCAGTGGTACCGGGGGGTGTGGCTGTGGAGGCGGTGGCGGAGGATGTGGAAGCGGTGGCGGAGGATGTGGAGGCGGTGGAGGTGGATGTGGAGGCGGTGGCGGAGGATGTGGAGGCGGTGGTGGCAGAAATATGCTCGGTAGGTGTGACCACACAGATATTGGCAAGTATCGAACCGATAACGACGGCTACGGATGTTCAGGTGGAAGCGGAGGCTGCTGCGGGTCGTCGGCAGGTACGGCTAGAGTGCATTTCCAGAGCGATTTATCAGACGGAGGATGTTGCGGGAAGAGGGCAGGAGGATGCCGTGATCCCGGGGAAGCCTCGGAAGGTGCCTGCGCCTCCACGGGCTGCGGCAATCCCCGTAACACCGGATACGAGACTTGCCCACCTCGAGAGCCCGATCCCTGCAAAAGAGACGACACATCCCCGTGCTCCACCGTTGCCTGCTCCCCGCCCTGCGCCGGAAGGAAGGGCTGCTGCCCCCCGGCCGGATGTCGGCCAGTTTGTAGAAAGAAGAGACGCTGCACGCCGCCGTGTACCGCCGAGTCGAAGAGTTGCGGCGGGGGTGGTTGTTGCGGAAGCGGATGCCGCGGAGGCTGTGGAAAGCCCGGGCAGGTTTGCATGCCCCTGAGACCGTGCAACACCCCGCCGTGCTTGCCGCACCCCTGCGTGGGCGGTTCTCCGTGTTCTCCACCTCGACCTTGCGCGCCTCAGCCGCCCTGCTGTAGGTCTCCGCAGATCCCGGGAACACCTGCGAGCATGTCCGGCATGAGCGGAGGCGAGGGCTCCAGCTGTCGGTAAGAGATCCGAACTCCGTGCTCCCGTGCTTTAAAGATGATTTCGTTTGTGTGTGCAGGTCCAGGAGTCCCGGAGGACGAACCGCGGGTGGCGGCGGATGCTGCGATCCCCGGCAAGACGACGGCGGAGGTGGAGGCCGTTGCTGTGCCCCGAAACTTCCACCTGGGTGCGAGTGCCTCGGAGGAGGCTTGGACTGTCAGCGTTGCGGTCGGAAAGTTTACCAGGCAGAGATGCAGGTACGACGGTACAAGATAAATGACAAAGGGGCTTCCGGATGTTTTCCTCGCTCCGACTCGAAAGACTTTTTGTTTGAGCGATTCTGCGTGAAATCTCGATTGCTTCTGTTAAACTGCCTGAAATATGTCTCGAAATGTTAAACCCGTTTACTCACTGAACGGTTTTGGCTACTCGAAAACGACTTTTACAGAACGCTACCGGCGATCCTTCTGATTCAAATTGCAGGAACTGTAGATCGACGAAGTAATATAAAGAGACACGACGCTTACGGTCGGTTCCACAGAATCGGGACCCAGGGATCTCGGTTTTTCGCTGATCTAACGATACTTGCGAGAAACGTAAGAATTCCGATACTACGTGACCACAACATTTCCAACCATCTAAATAACTTAAAATGATTTTAATTTTACAATTACGGTATCCAACGTGCAGCAACAATGCGCGCATATTACACAAAATGGACATTCTTAACGCGATAATGACTAGCAGACCCGCTGGCAGACGATAACGTATACTTTCAAAGTTTTACCGAGAAGATCCTCTCGGCATTAGATTAAACGAAAACCGAAGATCTTGGACTCCAAAAGTGGGGCCGACTTCGATACACTGTGTCGTATCTCCTGACATGATTTCGCGTTTAGGACGAATAATTCCTTGCACTTTATTTTTGCAATAATTGGAAAGGAAGTTGCCGATATAATATATCACGTGACGAAAAGCGACCTATGATTTCACCCAACGACAGCCAATGTTGAACTAGTTCAGCTTTATACCGACGCCATCGTTGCTTCTTTTTTGCAGATCGTGTCCGGGGTACCGTACCACAACATTTGTTTCAGTTGCTTCTGTTGCCGCAAACCTCTAGAGCCGTTGACCTACCAAGAGAACTGCGGCGAGATTTATTGCAAACGTCAGTACCATTAAGCGGCTATCGGTGCGCGTTGACCGCAATCCAACTCCTAAGTTTTCATTTACCTTGCAGAGTGCTACGTCCGGAACTTTGGACCTCAGGGATACGGTTACGGTGCGGGAGCAGGCGTGCTGCAAACTCCCATGTAACCTGAGAACCGATTGCTCCATCTATATTACTTGCGAATTCGACTCGACTGGTCTCCCACTTTCGGCGACTTCGATCAACTTTTCATTTTGACTCGATTTTCTTTCTATTACGACTTCTACCCCAAACCTGAAACTAATTTTGACTTCGTTTTTATCAATAAAACATTACATTGGCGTATAATTTCATTAATTTAAGAAGACAAATTCCCGTACAAGTTTAGGCATCCACTCCTCAAGTCCTACCCAATAGGCATAAACTTATATTTAAAACGAAAATATGAAACCTTAACTAAAAATTGTTCGTTATGTATTTTTATATGTCAATGGATGATTCGCGCATTTAAGGTGATGTGAAAGTGGCGTAGAAGAGGTTTGTTCATAAAACTTTTTTCCCAACTCGATTTACCGAATAATTTGAAACTTTACAACGTGAATAGGGAGACTATAAGGAAGGTCCTGAAGCTGATGAAATTTCAATTCTTTTCAAATTTCTTTATAGGTGTTTTAAAAATAGTTTATGAAAATGAAATTTCGCGAGTTTCAGGACCTACCTTAGGTTCTCTATATTCACGTCTCAAAGAATGAAACGATTTGAGACACACAGTTCGGAGAAAAGTGTTATAAACGATTGAGCTTGCGGGTGCCACTTTCACACCCCCTTAAATCGAATATCTGTCTTTCGCGTACACTTATCTTTCCTTAAACATTGTTACAATTGCCGGGGCATGATATAGGTTGGTGGTATCCATTGACCAAATCCACAATTTTAACAAAATTTCAAATAAATCTATATTGAAAACGGGTTATCCCAGTTATATAAAGAATTTTGCAATTTGTCCTTACAATGTATGGCAGAAATTCCTTATTCATAATTTCCAAGTCCCATGCATGGATCGTTCCTCTTATTCCTTGTATCCTAAAAAGGAAGAAAATAATTTCTGGGCGTTAATGGTCAAAGGTACGAGCTGTTATCCAATGTACCCACCTAACGAGGAATCTTACCGCGTCGCTCACCCCCGGTTCCATTATAACCTCCGCGAAACTCATTTAAATAGTTTCATAGGAGTTTCACTCCTCTCCGGCATCGATTGAAACGGTTTTATGCGAGTTTAACCGAAGTCCGCCCGCTCCTCGACGTCAATTACCGCATCGAGAACTTCGATTTCACGGTCTGAAATGTTTGCGTATACGTGCGGGGGATTAAATTCTTCCGATGGCCTTTACAAGGTGGTCGCATTTACGCGGGTGAGTGCGCGCGAGCACGCGGCTGCGCGCGCATCGGCGCGAAGGTAGGAGAAAAAGGCGGAGGGTGAGAGAGGGAGACGGAAGGTCGGCGGCGGCAGGGCCGAAACTCGCGAGGGAGCGAGAGGGAAAACGACATGGCGGCGTCAAGGGGTGGGTAAGAGAGCGAGGCGGCGGGGCGCGAGAGAGTGGGGGGGGGGGGAGGGGGAGAGGGGGGAGAAAGAAAGAGCGAGTGGTTTATCGAGTCTCTCTCCTGGCGGATTGCGGAACGCGGAACGCGAACCGTGCGCGGCGGGGCCGGGGCGTTTATATAGCTTTCAAGCGCAGAAGCTTAATCTAATTTCAAATATAAATCTGTTCTCTCTCCCGGCTCGCCCTCTCGCTCGGTCCCGCTCTTTTCCTCTCTTTCCCGGGCCCCCTCCGCCCATTGTAGCAGCCCCCGCCGCCGGCTTCTGCCTTACATTACCGGCTACGAATAATCTCTGGCCTTTCCAAGTGGCACGAGACAAATAACCAACCCTCCGGGAACCGATGGGGTAATTGCAGCCAGGAATGATCGCTGGATTGATTTACTCCGATCGAGCGGCTCCCACTTGGAAGGCTCTCGGGATGCGAATTATCGGCCCTTTCTTTCCTTTCTTGTTTTACCCTCTCTGCCTTATTTCCGGGGCCGCATTCCCCGAGAACCTGGCGTCTCGTTTTTGGAAGTCATCCTCGGGACCTCGAAGTAGCCTGGACCGACCGAGGGAGTCTTAACGCAATGGCGACCGCTGACGTGGATTCACGTCTTTTCAAGTTCTATTCCTGGTTGCCGCTGACGTGAATTCACGTCATTTTAAATTCTATTCCTGATTGCCGCTGACGTGAATTCACGTCATTTTAAATTCTATTCCTGGTTGCCGCTGACGTGAATTCACGTCATTTTAAATTCTATTCCTGATTGCCGCTGACGTGATCGCGTCCTTTAACGATACAAGTTTGCGGCAACCAGTTTCGGAATTTCATTATTTTCGCCGGTACTCAGTATTTGAAACGGGAAAAATCCGAAAGCTCAGTCGTTCATGAAACCTTTCTACGAACTGGGCGTCTCAAATCGTTTCATACTTTAACACGCGAATATGGAGACCCTAGGGTAGGTCCTGAAACTCGCAAAATTTCATTTTTTATAAACTATTTTTAAAATACCTATAAAGAAATTTGAAAAGAATTGAAATTTCATGAGTTTCAGGACCTTCCTTGTAGTCTCCCTATTCACGTTGTAACGTTTCAAACTATTCGATAAACCGAATTGGGGGAAAAGTTTTATAAACAAAACCTCTCCGACGCCACTTTCACGTCACCTTAAATGTGCTCGAATTTCGAGCTTTTTAAGGTGTATTAAACAATACTTGTATTAAAATGAAACGAAATGTTTTGTATATCTGGTAGGAAAATATTATAAAAACACATGGNGAGAAAGAGAAAATTCGAGTCGAAAGACGCGGAAACAACAGCAATTTAACGGACGATTTTATTTCAAAATGAAATTTTCAATTGCGCAGCCCTTTAGAAAAGCCGATGGTTTTTCAGGAGTTCAAGGGAATTTCCAGGACGTCTGCCACTCGGATTTCCCACGAGCGTGAAAATAATTTTGTTAACGCTGCCGTTACATTACTGTGCACTGCATAGCTTGTCATTGGATCGTCACGCTGAACGACGGCAGCCGAAGGCATTATTTTTCATTCCGCGTACCTCCCTATCAAAGCCATCCCCCGTTTCGTGGACCAATTTTAACTTCACTAGTGCCTCTCGTACCGCAGAGCACACGGAAAGCGCATATTTCTAGCACGGTCTGCTAGAAACATTACGCGTCTGAAAAATACATACGCAAATTGAATGTTCATTTACGGCTACGTATATTTCCTCGGTCGCTAGGCGATCCTTTACAGACATTTTTACTCGAAATAATTCGCCGAATACCTAACGAAATATTTTCCTTCTTATCGATATTGTGAGCCTTGAGTTCAAATAAATATATATATATATATATATCAAATATATTAGTCCGTTAAATTTCGGCGGTAAAAATATCCTACTCTTCTTGTAATATCAAGATACTCGTCAATTAGCAAATTTATTCGTCCTTAAAAACTTTATTTACAAGAATCTTGTTAACGTGTTTTTTTTCGTTTTATACACTTTTGAGCGTAGTCATTTTATGTTAACGTTCTTCGCGTTCATTTTTATGGACTTCTGTTCGCGTTTTCGATTATTCAGGATACCGCAAGGAGGTTATACTTGATCTTGTATGTTTGCGTCTCGATTTATGCACAAACTAGAGAGCGTTTTTGCGAACCAGTGCACAGCCGTAAATGGCGGCGGGACGGGTTCGTCGATGAAACTTTTTAAGCTCGGGCACGTGAAAATTAATGTCCCTCATTTGTCCGCACATTACATTTTCAGTTGCAACGTTCGACTGCAGACGGCGAAGGGGAGGAACGGTATAGAAATAGTAGACCCCAAAACACCCCTAAATACTGTCACAACACGCCTAGGACCATCCGGGACATTTATTGACGACGTATTAAAGGGAAGGTTACTAATAGGACGCAATGAATTAGCCATTTTTGTAGAGCAGCAGGTAGATCGCCTTCCCTGCGTCGCTTTTCAGACTCTCTGAGTCGAATAGCTCTTTTTTACCAGGGTGATTTCAGGATCCAATTCGTCTTCCTATGGTACCTCCAACATCGGCCTTCGAAAATTTTCCTTCCACCGCGACCTAAAACTCGTCCCTAAAAATCCATTATATAAAAACCATTCTTTGTCGATCCGTTTTCAAAATAACCACCTAAGTCCACTTTCCCAAAATAAGTAATTCCCTCTTAAGGGGGCACATCAATCCAGATAGATGAAAAAATCGATTTTTGAATCATACTTTCTGAAAGGTGGAAACCTTCAGAATATCCTTTAACAATTTTAATTAATATTTTGAAAAGTGACGGAGACACGGAATTACAATAGATGCAAGGCATATAGCGCAAAACAGACCACTTGGATTTGAAGCAAGTAAACAATGCTTGGGTATATGAACCATTGTAATGATTGCTAGAGCAGCTAGATATTTCGTTTACGTTAACAATAAATTTTCAGAAAATTTATTGCTGCAAGCGTCTTTAGCAAGTACTAGCAAGACTACTTGCCATTCTGTGATAATTGGCACTCGAACATTAAACGCATTTTTTTCAAAAAAAGATTTCAATGTCGGGCTGCATGAGATGTCGAATACTGCTTTACTCCAAATTTGCAGACGACATTCTAAGATACTTTTTACTCTTTCTGGCGATCGCATATTATTACTTTTGAATTACTTGTTAAATAATAGTAGAGAACGGATCGAAAATTTTGTTAAAAAATTGAAAGTTAACTTTGAGTAGTCGCAGTTTCGTGAATAAATTATTGTTCAAATATTCTGCATCGGAAAAAAGAGCTTGTACTGTCAATTTTCTGCAAATTCGTCTTATACTTTGTCTTAGGTCAACCTCCATTTAATTTATGTTGCAAACCGCCACGCGTGTTTTTGGCGACATGTTCTACGCCAATGACTGCTCCTCACTTAATTTCCAAATTTTGTAACAAAAAGAAATTAAAGTATACTTTTATTTTGGTCGTCTGCATTGACATGCCTCCTTGCTCCCTGTCGAAAAACTAATATTAAGAAATATGCAGTCTACAATATCCGAGCAAAAAAAGGTTCAAATCCTTGCCGAACAAGAAAAAAATTGAATGACAGGTGTAAGGGAAAGTTCTTTCGTTTTTTTTTTTTCTAAAGATGTGTGCGTGTTCAAAAAACGACAGAACTTTCCCTTACACGTAATACCAACGCGTACGAAAATAATCGAGGGT